GTGAGTCTCTGATGCTATAATAGAAACATCTGCTAGAATAGGTGGCCGGGGTGGTAGGAGGGTGGTGGCTAGGTTATTCCCTTCCACCCTAATTAAAGCCTCAAGAATACAAAGTAGGTCATTACGGCTAGCGGTGTGAGGAATATTCCTGAAAGCACATTCGCGTTTGATCTCGGTGAGAGACATTTTGTCTAATGTTTTTGCCATTTCCGAATTTAGTGTAAATAAAAGTGGTGAAAAGAAAGAGTAGAAAAGAAAAAAAAAACTAAGTGAGTTAGTATGTATTTAATGGAGTGGGTATTAGTTATATTTATATATATCTATATATAAATTCAATACAATCACTATTCCTATTAAATAAGAAGAAATGTTGAAAGAAGCAACAAAACACTGAAACTAAAATATTTATTAAATAAACAAGAGGAAAAATAAAAACAGAAAATATTTTTTTGAAAAGGGGGATGAATGAAAGAGGAAAAAAAAAGTTTAAATAATTAACAAAATTAAATTTGCTAATAGTATAATGAATATGAGTGATAAAGGGGAAAGAAAAAAAAAAGCTAAAAAATTTTTTTTTTAAAGGAAGCAATAGCTAATTAAGACTTGAAAAAGAAAAAAAATGTGTGTGTATATGTTAAGTATTTATGTTTATGATGTGATTTTTTTTTTTTAAATAAGAATAATGAAATGTGAAGGGCAAAAAAAAAAAATTTTAAGCTAGTGGGAATTGACAATAAATAAATAATATAAATATTTTTATAAATTCAACACTGTCACTATCTTTTAATAACTGATTTTTTTTTTTTAATTTTGATTGTAAACTAAATTTATTTTATCGGAAATGGGGAAAAACTTTTTATTTGACAACCGCTATACGTTGCTGTAGTAACACTCAATCTATTAATTATACTTCTGATGGCTTTAGTTTCTTTTCAGAAAAAAAAAAATAATATATATAGTAATGTTTAACCACAAAATGTAACTAATTGTACTGTGTTAATCGAAAATTAGATGTATTTTTCTATAGAATATAGTATACGCTAATTACGTAAACAAACAGTACGGATTAGTTTTAGTTTTAGTTTTAGTTATTATTGAGGTGGACATAATGCCCATGCACTCAGACCTGTTGGTCCATTGTGCGCACCTCATACCGAATTGTCTTGATTCGGTTTACCCACCTAAGTGTTATCACCAAAGTGTTAATACATTACCAACCATAAAGTCACCTCTAGAGATGACCAAAGAGTCCTGTCTTTCTGGCGAAATTAAGTATCTCCCTGGGTTTTAGGTTTTTAATATCCTCTTTTTCAGGAAATGGTTTATTCAAGTAGTTTGATCTTAGTGTGGACAAGGCTTCACATTCGCACATGATGTGAAATGAGTCTTCCTCTTCTACTCCACATTTTCTGCACAATGGTGATTCCGATACCCCCATTGCGTTAAGATGCTTAAGCAGGTGACCATGTCCTGTCAGTAGACCAGTCAGGGTGCTTATTTGATGTCTAGTCATGCTATTAAGATCACCCAGCAATAAACCAGGGGTCTTGATAAACATTTTAGATTGTCTAGGTACTACCAAGTACTTCCAGATTTTCCTGTGTTGTTCTCTGCACCAATTCTTGGGTAACGCTTTGAGCGATTGCTCAGTGAGCCCTACCACTGGTTCTGGTCCAACATAGGTGTTCTCTGCTCCTTTCCTGGCTAGAAAGTCAGCATTCTCATTTCCAGTGACACCGTTGTGTCCCGGTACCCACGCTAGTGTAACTTTGTTGAACCTCGATAGTGATTCTAAAGTTTCCCTGCATTCGAGGACCAGCTTTGAATTCACCTGATCGTTACAGAGTGCTTTCAAAGCCGCTTGACTATCACTTAAGATAGTTATCTTCCTATTTTTGTATACCAGCAGGTTCTGAGCCCCTACCAGTATCGCCATCACCTCTGCTTGGAAAACAGAGGGTGTTGTGCCCAATGACATACTGACATTTATTCGTGGCTTTAAGCCCCAAATTCCAGCACCTACCTTTCCTGATTTTTTGGATCCATCTGTATATATCACAAATCCTCCTTTGTCAGTCAGGTGGTTAATATTCCATTCTATACGTGTAGTGATCTCCACTTTGTAGGGAATGTTATTCTTAAGAACCGGTTTGATATAGTCCAAGGGGTATTCTAAAAAGCCCTTGTCTATCTCTTTTAGTATTTTACCATGTTCTGTTGTATCACTCTCCAAAGTCCACATACCTAAGTTGTGGAATCTTAGTGCTGTAGCTTTGGCGTGAGCTTTCACCTCTAGATGCAGAGGAGGCAATCCAATTAGTGCCTCTAATGCGACCGTTGGTGTAGTTCTTAATGCTCCAGTGATGGCAATAGCAGCCATTCTCTGTATGCGACTAAGTTCTTTCCTAGCTGTAATGAGTGCTGTTCTGGTCCACCAGACCAGGGCACCGTACAATATCATAGGTTTAATCACTGACGTGTACAACCAATACATAACTCTTGGTTTAAGACCCCATGTCTTTCCCAAGGCTCTGCTGCAAGTCCACAATGTGTTCATTGCTTTTTTGATTCTTGACTCAACATGTGATTTCCATTTTAGCTTACTATCCAAGATAATACCTAAGTATTTTACTTCTGATTTCAAGCTAATTTCTTGTCCATTCAGAGTAAGAGTGTCTAGGTTGTCTAGTCCTATTCTCTTTCTAGTGAACATAACAACCTCTGCTTTATTTGGATTAACAGATAGACCGTACTTACTACACCATATCTGTATAGTGTTAAGTCTCTGTTGTGCTAAGTCAATAATAGTGTCTGGGAATTTACCCACCACTGTTATAACCAAGTCATCCGCATAGGCTTGTGTATAACAATATTTGTTTAACTCTCTAATAAGCGAGTCCAATACTAGACACCATAGCAAGGGGGATAGAACCCCGCCTTGTGGGCATCTCTGTTTGACACTCTTGATTACTTTGGTCTCATTGAGCTGTCCCAAAATGGAGCGTTCCTTAAGCATGGATTCTATCCACTTAATAATAAGTGGTTCTATTCCACGCTGTTGTGCAGATTCACACATAGCATCGAAGGGAGTATTGTCAAGACTAATCCGAAAGACGCTGTAATCCGAACGGGCTTGAGAATTATCTTATCGCTATAATATGTACATATTTATTTATAAATAATATTTTCCGGTAATAAAATTTTTCGATTATGTTTGTACATCAGACATCGCACATGTACGTCGTTTAGATATGATACGTTAGATATGAACGTCGATTACATACATTCGTCAGTTGAGTGTCATACTGCATAAAGATCGCTTTACACTGCGTATTTGTAACATTTATTAGCGTATTTTTCTTAAAATGGCTCCACGTAAGCATGTTACATTAAAATTACAGGATAAGTTAGAAGTTATAAAATTAATTAACAAAGGGACCAGCTACAGTACTATTTCAAGACAATTTGGGATAGATGTATCTACCAGTGATATTAATAAAAACAAGGAAAAAATACAGAAGTTTGTCATTGAAACGGAAAATTAATAATTACACATACCCATAATTATATTAATATTTTTATACTTTCATTTTTATTTTATATGTTGTATATTTTATATATTCTTTTGAAATTACGAATTTTTACACGATTAATACAGATAAAAATACAATTTCATAATTTAAATTACGATAAAATTGATGTTTTTTTTTAAGCCATAGGTAATCCGAACGACCCCTTTGCCCAATCTTGTTCGGATTATCGAGACCCTACTGTATATATAACAAATTTTTATTGTGATTGACACAGCCCCGCGGTGCAAAGTCCAGCAAGTTGCGCACGGCCGACGACGTTCCGCCGTTAATGATGCCGTAGTCTTCTTCTCGTTGTCAACAAACCGAACCGCACTCGCGCACTGTCGTCATCTACGCTGCTAACCTTTTGACGCCCGAGGATCACGCCGGACATCGCGTTGTCGACACCAGCGACAGTGCCGCGATATTATGCGAAGATCCTACCGCCACCGCTAATATTAATATATATATTTATATATACATTTATAAATATTAATATATATAATTAATGTATATACGTATATGTTAATATTCATTTATATATTCCTACAGCCGACGACTCTGCCGCCGTATATGCCTCGTGTATAATGTTCTCCCCGCCACGACCGCCTACAAAACACGGCTATACCTCATGCATGATACGTTTACGTACTTAGGTCCCTTTACATGTATATATATATATATATTCTAATTACTATTAAAACTTAAATATTAATACACTTTATTCTCATTAAGAGATATGTAGTATATTCATTCCGATTACGGGGATGATTCTCGTATCGTCATTTTTCGTCACTACCTCCGTGTTCCGGAAGTGGGTAATTTACGCGCCTGCTACTTTCCTTGGATGTGGTAGCCGTTTCTTAGACTCCCTCTCCGGAATCGAACCCTGATTTCCTGTTACCTGTTAAAACCATGATATTTGATAGTAACTACTATCATAACATAAAACTAAAAAGTGAAAAATAAATATAGTTTAAAAAAACTAAAAAAACACGCTTTTAAACTATATTTTATACATATTTTCAAGTTTTCAAAAATTCAAAGCCATTTTACTTAACTTTGAGGAGATAAAATAATCAAAATAAGTTTATATTTATATTTAATGTTGAATGAGGGACTAGTAGATTTAATTATTGAGAAAGAGGTATGGGAGGCTGTGGCATCAATAAAAATGAATAAAGTAATAGGATCAGATGAAGTGCCAGTAGAAGTATGGAAAATATTAGTCGGTATTGGCATAAGATGGTTGAAAGATCATTTTAACAAAATCTTATTAGAAAATTTCAAAATAATGGAGGAATAGTATTTTTGTATCGATATTTAAAGGTAAAGGAGACATAGAGGAATGTGGAAATTGAATGTGAAAGTAATTACTAGTAGGATATTTTTTGTTAATAGGTATGAATGATTGACATTTTATTATAATTTTAATATCATCAATTTAATTTATTTAATAATAAAATCATTTAATTCACACTACGCCCATTAAATCATTTAGTTTTATCCATAAACATTATTTTCAGTTAGAACGTACGAGGTAAATGTTTCATCCGAAAAACACGCAGAACTGTTGGTAAACTTATGATAACGATTTCTGGTTGTATAAGCGACCATTTTGGGCTGTCGTTCTCTTGTGAACAAACCTTTCATGCATAATCCTGGTCTTAGGTAAGCTAAAATAAATTAAATTTTCTTAATAAGTATATTATATAATGAATTTAAAGAAAGTACATTGAGGTGTTTTAAAATCAGCGAAATTCCATATCATTTCTCCAAGAAGTGGAATTCCGTCAGTTATTAATGAATCAAATGCCTTAAAATTCTCATTTAGTAATGTTACATGGTAATCTTCACTCCACATTGTTTCTGGAAGCTTGAATTTTTATAAAAACAATGTACAATATTAATTATGAGTATTTGTAAGAGATACTGATCAAGACTTCTTGATATTGTTACGGACAGATTATTCGTCCTTCACCAATATTAACAATTGATAACTATACTAGTGCCTGATTAGCACAAACGTCCCTACAGCTCAACTAAGTATGCGGCGCGCGAGTGTAAACAAATCGATTACATACTTTTCTTGAATTAATTTAAAACATAACGAAGACAGTCGACTATTTAACACGCTTGCGGCAACTTACCTTTATTGATCGTACAGTATTATTGTGGTTATTAAAATAAATACCATTATTATTTTAGTTATTATTATTTTGGGTTGTGTACACTCGTCGCCTTCGCTCGTCCAACTTGGATACAACCACAAATCTTTAGAGATCAAAAGAAAAACACAAAAATTTAACTTCTCATGTCTATGAACTTAAAATAATATAAACTTTAATTTAAAATTAAATAAAAGTGTCAATATTTCCGGAATATTTTCAAAAATTACATTGAAAAAGCTTAACTTGTGTGCAAAAATTGTTTTTTTGAATTCTCCTGTGGGCAGGTCAAGAGGCAAATTTTCAAAAAAATTATATCAAACAAAAGAAAAATATCTAAGGTTTCAATATAAAAAAAATATATATTAATTTGTTCATTTTTCAAAAAGTTATAGCAGTTTTAAGAATTAAAATATTTCATGTTAAACAGTGATTTTTACATAAAAATTACAAGTTTCGTTAAATTCGACGGCCCAATTATTATAGAAGAAAAGGTATCGGAACAAATTTTTTTTTTTTTTGAACTTATAGTATTTATTGTAAGTTTTAATTTGAAATATGTTTAAAAAATACAATATTTCCGGAACATTTTCAAAAATGCAGTTGAAAAAGTTCTACTTTTTTATGTATTATTCAAGTTTTGTAAGCCCACAAAAGTGACGAACAGTTGCTGAATCGGTAACTTTAATGTCTTTCACGGTTAGGTTACTAGGTTCGAATCCGGCTGTGACAATTAATATTTTGCATTTTTTTTAAGTTAGAAAAATATTCAAATTATTTCATTTTTATCTCATTTAGATTTAATAACCTCAATATTATTAAGGATCCCATCACTGTAGTCACCCCCACGAGAAAAAATTTCTTATTCATGTTAATATTATTTTACAATATGTTTCATTTTTTGACGTCGATTTATTTTTCCAACCCTCAATTAACCTACTTTTTTCAACGATATGTCAAATTATTACAATTCAAATTTAATTGAATATTTTAATTCAAAAATTAAAAAAAACTTCCTTAATTAAATAAAAAGTACCTTAAACAGCTTTATCCATACAAATAATCAATATGATTAATTTCTAAAATCTTTAATGTATTTATTGTTGAATTAATTTGATATGATAAAAATATTCAACTGCAAAATCTTATTGACATATCAAACATTTTTTTTTTTGACAAATATCAAAAATTATTTTATATCGAATGTTTTGCAAATTATTGAAAGTAATAATAATATATTTTAAAGGATCTCCCATAGTGACAGATACCTTAAGTGCTATCTATCCCCGTGTATAATATGAGTACGGGATGAATCATACTAGGCAATGCATAATTTATATTTATACCGAGTGTAATCCTGGTAATGAACCAGCTCCATACTCAGTTATCAACACAGGCTTCTCAAATTTTTTATTCCAAGCTTCTACTTCCTTATATACTTGATATTGAATAAGTTCTAAATGCCCCGAATCACTATACCAACTATCGTATCTGTTTACTGTTAAAATATCCATGTATTCAAGCTATAAAATAAATAAATAATTAAATTTTAAATTAAAAAATAATTACTATACGATACATAAAAAAATAGAGTTTTATCAAAACAATTTCTATTGAAGTGACGTTATTTATAATGAAATAATTTTATGTCTATCACAATAAAAATTAAAAGATTTCAGTCGGGATCTAGTTTAGTTAAGAATAGTATAAATTAAAATTTGACATTGATATACTTTACTAATACTTAACGCTTTGATGTTTACTTTTTATATAGAACAGTTGATTTATACAAAAAAAAAAAAAAAATACTCATTGTATTAATTATTAGTATAAAAAGAAATTATTCAAAGAAGATCTTTGTTATCACATCACATGTTTTATAACCTTAAATTTCACATAGTAATAAAGTTGTCATAACAATATCTAGAGACGATCCAAAATAGTACAAAAAGTAAGAAAAAATTAAAAATAAAAAAAAACATAAGGTATGCGTACTTCGACGTGATTAAACACTGTGCACTTGAGTTTAAAATCGAATTTTTAGTTATAAAATTTCATTTTGATTCATTTCCTTGTCAAAATATTTATTAAATTATTAATTGAAAAAAAAAATTACACATTTTTCGATTATAAATACTGCAATTTTTTTATATACAGGGTGATTTTTTTATCATAACCCACTCAATTACTTACAGAATAATAATAATTTAAAAATTTTTTTTTTTTTTATTATCTTTAGTTACACATTATTCTTGAATTTTTAACTATGTAATAATTTTTAAGTTCATCCCTTATGCCTTGGAAGGGGGTCAACTTTGTTTTTTTAAATGGTAACACATATTTTTAATTTAATAAAATGTTTGAGTTTTTAATTTAATAGTAAATGGCATTTGAATTTTTAATATAACTTTATTAGCTTATTAGATATAAACATTTAAAGTTTCAAAATTTTGAGTTAATATACATGTATAATACACATGGGATTGTAAATACAGGTAGCTAATTGGATTTTTATGACATTGCTGTCTCAGTCACGGATTGTTTATTATCAATTATGATTATCAATAGATATACTTTCTGTATTGTCAGTTAGTGTATTTATAAACTCATAACAATGTGCCTTACTACAATTGATAATAACAATGCTGTGTACCTGCTAATATCGATGTTATAAAAAACCAATTAGCTACCTATATTTGTAATCCCTTGTGTATTATACCTGTATATTAATTCAAAAATTTGAAACTTTAAATGATTATATCTAATAAACGAATTAAGTTATATTAAAAATTCAAATGCCATTTACTATTAAATTAAAAACTCAAACATTTTATTAAATTAAAAATATGTGTTACCATTTAAAAAAACAAAGTTGACCCCCTTCCAAGGCATAAGGGATGAACTTCAAAGTATTACATAGTTAAAAATTCAAGAATAATGTGTAACTAAAGATAGTAATAAAAAAAAATTTTTAAATTATTATTATTCTGTAAGTAATTGAGTGGGTTATGATAAAAAAATCACTCTGTATTCTCTGATAGAATTTCTAAAATAGTAAATATTAACAAAATATTTAATTAAGGATATAATGACAAACAGACACTATATTGATATTAATTTTTAAAAAATTCTATTAGAATTATTAATAAAAAAATCGAAGGGAATACTTTTAATTTTTGAGAACAATATTCAATTTTAATACTGTTCAACAACATCGATTTAATCAGACTAGAGAATTTTTATGAATATATATATATTATATATTATACTAATAAATTCTAGTAAAATCCTTCTAAACTTTTCATTAAAGCAAAATATATAAACACGCGGTGTTTCTAATACCAAAAATTTTAAAATTTGTCTTTTAACATTTTAAACGTTTCATACTGTGTAATTATATTTAACAGGTTTTTTTAACGTAAGTTTTTGAACTCTGTGTATGCATCTATTAATTTGTATAAATAATTAGAAGTTGCATCTATTATAGACTATCTATGACAGTGATCATTTTTGTTTTTTTTTTCAACAAATTTTTATATTTAAAATTCTAATAGTATACTAACAGCTTTTGAATTTTTAATTTGTTGGCTGTTAACGAATGTAATTGGACGTGATGAATCCAATTTACGAACATGATTATACAGTTCTCTGTAATAAATTACATAGTTTTAAAGACAGTTGGCTACTATTAAAAAATAAGTTAAATGGTTTATATCTAGGACACTGAATTTGTTATATCATTAAAAGTCTTACTGGAAATATGATATTGAAGCGTTTATGTTGTTTTCAGGTTCATTTGCCAGAGACCACATTATGATACTAGGATGATTCTTATCTCTTTGGATAATTTCTGTCATTGATACCTTATGTGATTCTAACAATGCAGAATCAAATTTTCTGTTTGAAAAACAATTGAAATTATTTAATTTATTCTAATTATTGTTTAATCTTAATTAAAATTTTCGTTCCTTTAAAAAATAATCACCATAATAATTTGGAAAATCTTTGTCATTTAAATATTATCATGCTATATGGAACTCATAGAAAATTTCCAGTAAGGTACAATATTTTTAAGAGAAATCAATAAATATTAATAGATTGCAATAAAAATTACTTTATAGCACAAGCTGCACTTTCCAAGATCACCATTATTCCTTCAAAATCGGCTTGTTGAAGTGTTTCTTCAGCATATGGATAGTGAGATGTCCGGAAAGAGTTAGCGCCTAACCATTTGATTAAATTAAAATCTCTTACACTCAATACATCGTCGTATCCTCTGCCGCGCAACTAAAATTAAAAAGCATCAGTTTTAAAACAAAATATTTGCTTACAGAATGATTTTTTTATCATAACCCAATCAATTATTACAGAATAAACATAATATAATTATTAGCTTGCGAAGCTGAGAAGTTATTAATTTTACAATGATTTTTTGTGTGTGTCTGTAAACACTTTTTCTCAGCTCTCACTGGTACGATTTCTTTCAATAATACATCAAAAGATCAAAAATCGTAACTAGTTATAGACACTACTCATAAAAATTGTAAAAATTTCCCTCGTATCCCGTAAATAGGGGAAATCTCAAAAAAAAAAAACGATTTTTAAAATCTCTAATTTTTGATATTTTTTTTAAATTTTTTTATTTAACGCTGCCAAAACTATTTTAAAAATGACCAAATCAATATAATTTTTTTAAATAGATATTTACATTTCATTTTCCATATTTTTTTTTATAAATCTGAAACTTCACCTGCACACAAGGGAGGATTCAAAATAACAACTTTTTCAAAAAAAAATTAACCTTTTCAATTTAAATTTTGAAAATGTTTCAGAAATACTGACAATTTTATATAAATCTTAAATTAAAGCTAATGTAGTATACTTTAATATGAAAATCAATGTTAATAAAAAAATTATTTTTTAAATGTTTAACTTATTTGTGCTTGTTAGAACTTAACTTTTGAAAATGTTTCGGGTACACTGCGCCTTTTAAATATATATTAAAATACACATTATTTTATGTATTAGAAGTTAAAAAAAATAATGTGTAACGACGACCTATTAATCTTTGTGCAAATAGCAGTCGAATAAGAACAAAAAATTGAAGTTAATTTTTCTTTTGGAATAATTCACTAATTTCTTAAAATTAAACAATGTCTATTGATTTAAACCGAAGCGTTTTTTATGATAGTGATATTAATCACTATCAGATATCATCTATACTTATCCCAACTATTTCAGGTCCATACTGTGCCTTGACCCCACTGTGCTACCATTTTTTAGTTTCGATGCGATGCGAAGCGGAGAAGGTATTGGTTTAACTGTGATGTGTTTTTTTTTGTGTCTGTTACCACTTTTTCACAGTTCTCACCGAACCCATTTCTTTCAATAATACGTCAAAAAATCACAAGGGATGAACTTAAAAATTATTACATAGTTAAAAATTCAAGAATAATGTGTAACTAAAGATAATAAAAAAAAAAAATGTTTAAATTATTATTATTCTGCAAGTAATTGAGTGGGTTATGATAAAAAAATCACCCTGTATATTAGTTAGAAAAAAAGGGAATAATTTGTTATTTATTCATTAGTACTTTGTTCTAATTTAATTTATCATTTTCTTTACTTTGTTTGTCTGTTTTCTTTAACCAAAATATCATATTGTTATTATCATATATGCGTAGTCTTTTTCTTTTCATTTATTATATTGTGAGGTTCAATTTCCAAACTTATATTGTCCTTTGCTTCCGCAAATAGATGGTCATATTATGTATTAATCAAACCAAAAGAGTTACACAAAATCGAAAATTGCCGATACTAAAGCAAGATATAGCCGGCATTGCACAATTACAAATACTGTTAGTTAATTGATTTTTAATACGTCCCTATTCGCAAATGCCTAGTATTATTGTCAGTTATGGTTTTTTCAACAGATATTCTTAAAATATTATCGAAAGGTACATTTTATTGAGTAAACATTTATAAGTACACTAACAGGCAATACAAAAAATATATATGTAATATTGATATCATAAAAAACTAATTAACTACCTGCATTTGTAATCCTTTATATATTATACATAATAAATTTGAAATCTTAAAGTTTTATATCCAATAAATTAATAAAGTTATGTTAAAAAAAAACCAACACAGTGGAGTCGCGGCACATTGATGACGTGGCATAGTTGGATCAAGTATAAGATTTTAAATATGCAATTAGGATTTCGCATATAGCCTATATAATAACAAAATTCTTCTAATTAATATAACAAATATTTATATTTCATTATTAGGTTACGTATGAATAATCAATATATATATTTAAATTAAAAATAAGTTGAAAAAGTTCTTTTATCTATGCGAATTTTTAAGTTTTCAACCCCCTGTATAAAGAGAAATAATTAGATTTAAAAACTAGATTTAGATTTAAGTATGTCGCATAAAAGAAATATATAAATAGTACTTATCCTAAAATAATTATATTGATCCATACATTTTTCAAAAAATTATAGCATTATAAAGTTAAAAATATAAAAAATAATTGATTTAAATGAAATTGGTTCTATAAGAGCTGAAAAAGTGGTAACAGACACAAAAAAATAATTAAATAAAAAAAACACATCATAGTAAAATTAATACCTTCACAGCTTCGCATCAAAGCTAAAATAAGTAAATTTTGATCACTATACGGAAACATATCTAGTGTAAGCGAAAATGCTGCATCAATTTTGAAGTATTATGTATATTATCTAAATTAATAATTTTTTTTATACCAAAAGACCTGTAAATAACTAAAGTCTTATAAGCTAACATTTTTAGGAATAAGAAGATTGTGTTAACTATCAAAATTATACATACGACCCTGTCGCCTTATCTAATTTTCTAAAGCTACAACACAAATTCATTAAATAGAAAATCTTTTTTCAGAATTTCTACTTTTGTCTCAAATTAACACAAACTCGAATTCCCAATATTATAATAAAGGTGTGATACTTAATTCATTGTATAATGTGTACCAAAAATTTTTTATACAAGTAGTCTGAAGACTTCCTGGTTAAAATAGATTTAAATTGTAAAATAAATGTAATACACATAAAATTACTATAGAATCTTCGTGCTTTCCGAATCCTCTTAAATAAATTGATTCGCCATTTAATAATAATTTTTTAGACGTCCATTGTAGAGTTCGAATGCCAATAGGCAACCTATAGACATCATATTTTTCATTCACAATTTTTACCTACACAGTTTTAAAAAAATTGTATTAATTTTATACTCTTTACAAATAAGTAAACACATACTTGAAACGTATACATATACGCAATCTGGTCCTTTCCAGACATAAAAGGCCACCATAAAATAGCATTTGGAACTGAAAACTGACCAATACATGTATGCATTGACGCAACTGCGGTGCGATTTGAATCCAAAAGTGTTATTTCACATTTCTCGTTGTTTCCACCACAAATATCGACTTTAAAAATTACAATACCTGAATAATTAAAAATAATGATTATATTGTCAAATTTTAAGATTAATTGATATAATTTATAAATTATGTTACATATAAATAAATAATAAATTTAATAAGATTTTAGTTCTTAATTGGAAAAAATGACACCCTGGTCACGGTCTACTCCTAAATACGCCACTGTTTTGAAAAGTTGTTAACTAAACATATAATAAACATATAATTTCATGAATAATTTTCACAAAAAACTTAAAGTAAATTTTCAAAAGATGGTTTATTACGAGGTGCAAGGATGCAACCAACAAAATAGTTGTTACACGTATTACGAGTTTTAATTAATATTACTGAGTAATCATAATATAATATTATGTTTCAATTTATTTAACATATTTACTGAAAAATGGAAATTAATTTATAATAGTGAATATAATATTTTAATATTTTGTACTTTTTTTTAGACAACGTAATATTTAAAACATAAATATTACTTTTTTCTGCACGTGTTCAAACAATAGGAGTGTAAATTTTTGAGTTAATATACATGTATAATACAGAAGGGTTTACAAATACAGGTAGCTAATTGGTTTTTTATGACATCGATATTAGCAGGTACACAGCATTGTTATTATCAATGGTAGTAAGGCACATTGTTGTGAGTTTATAAATACACTAACTGACAATACAGAAAGT